AAATGGTCAAGCACCCTCGAGGCAGTTACACAGTGCCTACAACTGTCTCTGGAAGTGAAGCACCAGAAAATACATAATGTCATACGTAGCTGTCATCCGTACGCAAGGAAGTAAGCACAAGATGCCGAACACCCTCAGCAGGATGCAGCGCACCCTTCATGCGACTCGCCGAATATCTCACGGCGCTTCGCGCTTGGTGATGTGAGAGCCTGGTCCGGTGAGAACCCGGCGTGCTCCGTCCCGGCTTTGTAGGGATGCGAGGTCAATGGTCTAACGACTACGGCATGCACGACTATGAGTACCCCCCCCCCCCCCCCCCCCCCTCTCTCTCTCTCTCTCTCCATGAAGTCCTTGCCTACTTTTTGTTGCTATCTCATCATCCTACCCCCTTCCCCTGTCCCCGCCCGCGTTTCTCCCCTTAAGCCCGTTCTACCAAGGGATGTTGAAAATCCCACAACAAGGACAACAACAGAAAATGCTGCCGCAGCAACAACACCAGCAGCAGCAGCAGCAGCAGCGGCAGCACGTTACGACCCCTGCTTCCCCCCCCCTGCCGGTGACCGTGTCACCCCTGCCCTCTCCTCGGTTTACACCGATCGCCCCAATGATTCCCAAGCAACAACCGGCCGCCATGCCGCCGCCGACTCCGCCGCCGCCGCCGCCGCCGCCGCCAGCATCGGCCGTTCCCAAAGGAGTCAGTACCGGCGGCAAAGGGGAAGGAGGGAAGACCGGGGGGGCAACTACGGGGGGTTACGGCGGTGGGGGGGGTGTTGGTAGGGGCCCGGGACGCAGAGGCGTGCCGACCAAGTTCCTGTCGATTTTGTACGACATGCTCGTGGAGGGGAACCCACAGGTTTGGTGGGAGCGGGAGACCGGGAGCGTGGTCATCGAAGACCCTCAGCTGTTTGAGGAAGAGGTGAGGAGCTTCAAGAATGGTACAGCTTGGAAGAGAAAGGAGCAGGCACACCTTGTTCCAGCGCGGACGGTGGTGGCTCGGGCGGAACCTTGTCATCTTGGTCTGGTTTGGGCGGTAACGGTTAGGAGGCCGTGTTGGTGGACCCCCCGGGGGTTGGCGGCGGAAGCGGTGGGATGTTCGTGATGAGTAAATGGGTGTGGAACACAAGTTGTCCAAAATGTTGGATTCGACCCCAATAGTCGCTACTACTCGTGCTTGCGTGTGGAGTGGAGGTTGCAGCAGACGCTCTGAACTCTTACCCGTTGGACTGCTCTGGTTGCTGTGTGTGGGAATTGATCTTGCCGAACTATGCTCTCACACCGAGAACATCAGCAGTTTTATCCCCGGGCATCCCCATGCCGGAGTCCTGAGGATGTCGCCTCCGACTCCCGCGAGCTACGTATGTGTAGTCGTACACGGCAAATCAGTGTGAAATCTCTTTTTTGCTTGTTTGCCGCCCTCGCCCTTTTCTTCCCTTGTTTTTTTTCCTTCGTCGCCGTGATCAGACGATGCCACGTTTTTTCTTGGACCCCAAGGTTGCCGGGTTTCTCCGCCAGCTGGCCTTTTACGGTTTCAAGAAGGTGGGTGTGGGAGTGAGAGAGAGGGAGGGAGTGGGAGTGAGAGAGAGATTTTGGCACATCTGCCCACTTGTTTTGCTGCTTGCCTTCATGATGTGGCCTTACGTAGTCATGTATCGATTTCGAGACGATAACCACATCTACTCCGCAAAGAACCGCTGCGAATACTCGATCGCTGCGATCGCGTTGTTTTCTCACGGTACAGGTCTCTGTTGTGCGCCGAAATTTCACCGGCACTCAACCGGACACCTATACTATTGAAAGCACAAAACGAGTTGGTATTCCAGTGTGTGCGAGCCGAAAACACCGGCACAATACCGGCAATCAGCACATTTCAACCAGCGTTATACACAGAGATCTCTACTGTACTGCCATGTTTCACATGACTCTGCGACGGGGGGGGTCAGGCGGGGCGCGACAGGCGTTACCGCGGCAAATGGTGCCCGGTCGTGGTAGAGTATCCTTTGCGGCTCCCCCTCTATTGCAATATAGTCCATCGGTCTTACAATAGACCCGCCTGTGTTTTCGTCTCATCCCTCCTCGGTAACGTGACTCGCCAACAATGACGACGACGACACTCCCCCCCCCAATAAAAAAAAACAGCCGGGGAGGAGCGTTAAAGAGCAGGGGCGGTATCAGCACCCGGAGTGCCGGTGGAAGGACGTGTCCTGCGTCAAGTTCCTCCTGACGAAGAAGGCGTACGACCTGCGAAGGCTCGAGAAGGCCATTCGCAACACCTCGGCGGTTGCCGGGCCGGACGGGTCGCCTTCCGGCGACGGCGGGAGGACGGGATCGGTCGGTGCGGTGGGGCAAGGGGAGGAGGGTGACGCGGCGGAGGTGGAGAGGACGGAGTTGGAGGTGGCGGCAGAGGCGACGGTGGTGAGGGGGAAGAGCGTGGGGAGGCAGGTCAGGAAGGAGCTGCGGCAGATGATGAGCAGGTGAGTGAGCAGGCGTGGTCGAGCACGACGTGTTTGGGAAAGAAACGAGTTGGAGAGAGCGGCGGACGCTCGTTTTGTTTTGTTCTTCGTGTCGGGGGCTTTGGGTGCTGACCTACACACCCAGCGTTTAGCGAGACGGAGCCCCACATTTTCTACTCGTTCTTGCAACAGAGTTGGACAGCATACACAAGAACTGGTGGGAGTGTAGGTTGTGCACGGATCACAACCTGCCAAGGGTTGGGCGGGGAGGTTTGGCAACGGGGATCGACCATGACCACATTTTATTTGTCTAAGCTGCCAAGTCAGCTAGAATAACGCCACCCTCCGAGACGCGGGAATACTTGCCCACTTCGGGGTGAAACGTTTATTGTCTTTGCTGCCAGGTCAGTTGGAGTAAACGTCACCCTCCGAGACGCGGGAAAACTTGCACGCTTCGGGGTGCAGCCTCCCCCCCGCAGGTTGTAGTCGGTACCCAACCCATGTACCCCCATCCTGATCTTTGGCCACCGGTGATGACTTGATATGTCGGGCTCGCATGAGGGAAATCGGAAAGGCAAGGCGGTAGCATCCAAGTCGGTTGGAGGACAGCGCACATACCACGTCGCCTTGACCTCCTCCTCGAAGGGTCGTGGCAACTTCGAGGACCAGGTCGCCACCCTGTTGAGAAGCCAGGCTATTCGAAAGACATGGTTGTTTCGGTTGGGACCAAAGACCGAACTAGACCTTTTCCTCGCGTGACGCGCTTCCGCTCGCTGTGTCCACTTTTTTTTTTTTCGCTGCCCCTCGGGAGCGCAGGTCGCAGCTTGGGTGCTGGCAGGTCGAGCAGACGGCTAAGCTCATGATGAAGATCATGCGCCTTAACGCCAAGCTTGCGGAGGGCCTCAGACAGTGCCGGGCACGGGGAGGGCCTCCTGTTCTCCGCCGGTGCGTTTTCTTCCTTCCCCCGTGTTGAGTGTGCTGCCCGCTGCACAGCTAACACTGCCTGCTCTTTTAATTGTGTATTTCCTCCGGAGAACAGCAGTAGTTTACCTGCAAGAGACCTGTGTGTTGTGTGAATTTCCTGCGGAGACAATATGTTTGTAGTCTACCCTGCAACAGACCTGTGTTATTTTCCGTGCAATTGTCCTGCTTTTTCGCTTGTTTTCATGCCTTTCTTCCGGAGTACAATAGTAGTCTCCCTGCAAGAGACCAGCGTTTTCCTGTCCTACATTTTTTACTCTCCAGGAGTGGTCTGCCTGCAACAGGATGTTTGTTCTGTGCAAGTGTCACGTGTACGGGTGTGTCAATCTCGCCCCGCTGTTGTGATAGTTGCTGTCGCAAAACACTCCTTGCGGGGCTATACTCATCTCGACCGCAAGACAATAGTGTGCTACAACGTGAGACGCGGAAGAGGCCGTTCGTGCAGCCATCCCCACAATCGATATCGTGTCCACTGACCGCTACCGCTGAAAGCAACTCAAAAAAAGGCGCGTTGTTCATCAAAATACTGTGACAACCAACATGTTAACCACCCCCCCACACCTGCCAAACACGCGCTGCTGCAAGTACTTTTCTGTGAAATGTGAGGAGAGTTCGACAAGAGGGTTGGTGGTATCTCTCCATGAGCAACAGAAAAAACCTTCTCGACAGGAATGCCTTGTCAATTTTCGGACCCCTAGGCACGCAACCCCCCCGCATCGACGCCCCCTGTCTCTTGAGCTCCGATTACTGTACATATTGAGTGACTCCTGGCGAACTCACCCTTTCTGTGCGGCCCGACAGGTACAACATGAACAACCCGGCCTTGGCGAAGGTTCGTTTGGAAAACGCAAGATTGAGGAGGAGGGTTCGGAGGCTAGAAGACGAGGCGGAGAGACGGGGGCTGCCCCTCACTGCCGGTTAGCTGACATGTAGAAAGAAGGGATGCGGTGATTCGTCGACTGGTTTGGTTCCCAGCTGGTGGGACTCACACCTTCTCCGTCGCGCCGGAGACTGGATATTGTTGAAGCGCTTCGATGGGGTTGCTCACGCCAAAAACATGCGTGATGCGTGCGGCTGGCTGCTACACACATAGCCACGGGGTTTGGCTGTGGCAGCGGTTGCGCCTTTCGAGGCGACAAAGGAGCGGTCCGCCGGTGTTATCGTTTGTATTTGAGAGGACGGCCCTCCGCTTTTGTTGCTTGGGAAAGTGTCTGCGTGTGTTTGTTTGCAGAGTAAATTATTGTTGAGTATTTCGACGAAAAAAGCGCACCCCGTGTGTACTAAAGGCTGGTTTGGGGTCCAGAATAGAGGGATGGGATACAGCAGTAGTCCGTCCGCCAATGCATTCAGGATGATCTTCGCGCGCGAGTGGCTTATGGTGTATTGACAAGTGTATTGACATAACGAATGACAAGCAAGCGCGATGAAACATGGGACACCGCATGGATGGGTCCTTCAACCGCCCTAGTATTCTCTCTTGGTCATGTACGTGGCACGTTCTTGCGTTTGGCGAAGAGAACAGGAAGCGCGGTACTGTTTTTTGCTCTCATCATCGCTCCTTACACAGAGTCATCCTCGTGCACTCACAATTTTTTCTATTCCCCCGATCCTTGTTAAGCGCAAGTCCGATCGAGCGGAAGAACTGTTTTTTCCCACGATCTCTGCGCTTTTGGAAGGAAATACAGAGTGTGGCGGCGTGCACGTAAAAGCAACGGGAATGCTTGGAGACTTCTCCCTGAAAGTAGTTGAAGGAGGGCGGTTTTAGCGGAGCGGAACAAGGCCCAAAGCGAGAAAGACGTCGAAAGGCGGCAATTAAATAGTGGAATCCCTTGCGTTGCAAGCTAGTTGCAGCGAACTTCAACACTGCTTCTTGGATAAGGGACAAGATGAGAAAAAAGCACACAATCCAAAGCAAAACCAACAACAACACACATGTAACCCACAAACCCGAAGCACTACCTGCGACAAATTTCGGTGCTAAAACCACAGACGACGTTCGCCAGGCTTCTCCCCCACGCGATCGCACGCACCGGCCACCGCCATCGCCACCGCCCATGAGGTGAAGGAACCCGAACGACAGCTACAGCTCTCTTCTACAACATCCAGGTGCCGTTTGAGACGCACAGCCGTTGCCTCTACCGGTAGGCCGGAATCCCGGCCCGGCCCATGTGAAACGAACGCCTGCTCGCTCATCTCACGGATAACGAGCACCGAGGCGTCGACGCCACGCCTCGAGAGAAACATCTCTCAAAACACTGCACGCTTCGGGTATGTGCGGCCTATACGTGCCGAGAAAAAAACGAGTCGACGGAACTGACGTGCCCACCGCACGCTGTACCCATCCTACCCACTAGCAAACACAAAGAACCAACGGAACACGAGCTTGGACCTGAAGTCACCTCTCTGAGGACGAAAACAACACGTCAGGGTTGCGTGTGTGACCCTCAAACGGAATGCTGCAAGATTTTTCGTGTTGTGACGCTCCCTTAGGCCATGCGTTCGAACACTAAATCCAGGTATGGATATCTTCTGCTTTACTGCTGCACCAGCTTACACTGTTTCCATGCCCCGTCAAAAAAATAAAAGACATGAAGGTTCGCAGTGCACACGATAAATACCAGTACTCAATATATCGAGATACCTCGGCCATTTCGGGGGACACAAGAAGCTTAACGAGATTTGTGAACTTCGCAGTGTTAGGGAACAGCGAAAAAACATCTCTGTCGCGGGAAAGTCCGGCAATAAACTTCTCCCGAAATCGAAGACGCTGCTCCTGCCCGTATCATATGTGTATCATGACACCTGCCCACATGTATATGTCACCTGCAGAGGCGGCATCACTCTGGATGTGCACGTACACAACCTTTGAATTACAGGCTGGCTGAAAAGGCTGCTGCGGCTGGGTGTTTGATGTCATTGACTGCAGCTGTTGGCTCTCCCTCTTCCCCCCTCCGGCTGTGGCCACACGACTCACGGAATACAATTTGCCAGTGCCCAACATTTTCGGTTTCCGCGCTTGTTGTTTGCCGAGTTGGTGTAGTAATCCCTCCCGCCTGTGCCTGCAGCTCAAATGTCTTTCAACGAAGAAGCTATCGGCGAGCGGGGCCGGACAAAAACGGATGCCCCCTTCCCGTCACCCGAGCCCCCAGAGCCACAGCAGCAGCAATGTCAACACACATGTCCGAGCTAGCGCTTCGCACCCCGACGAAACAAATAGACGCGCTTCAGAGGAATTTCTTTGGGGAGGGGGGGAGGGGGGCGTTATGTGGAGGACAACACGCCAGCAGTGGAAGACTCTCGTCNCTGCTCCAAGCCAACCACCCATCGAGTAAGCGCTAGCACCACACGGTTGGGTTGCTGCTCGCCTACTTCTGCCTACTTGTACACTCCCCTCTCCCAGTCCTTTGCGGAGCTGTAAAGAAAGGGCGAGAGAGACAGACGAGGTACACAGATAGCGGGGGGGGGGGGGGGGT